CCACCCACTGAGACAGTGGAGCTGATCTATTGGGAGCTCACCAAGGCCAGCTGGACTGTGACTGAAAAAGCATTGGATAAAACTGGACTCTTTGAACATGGCGAACAATGAGGGCTGATGAGACGCAAAGGACAATGGCACGGGGTTTTGATCCTACGTAATATGATGGCTTTGTGGGAGCCTAGCCAGTTTGGATGTTCACCTTCCTAGATATGGACGGAGGGGGGAGGTCCTAGGTCTTACCACAGGGCAGAAAACCCTGACTGCTCTTTGGACTGGAGAGGGAGGGGGAAAGGAGTGGTTGGAGGGGGAGAAGGGTGGGAGGAGGGGGTGTAGGTTGGGAGGAGGGGGAGGGAAATGGGAGGCTGGGAGGAGGTGGAAACTTGTTTTTTTTTCCTCCTTTTCTCAATAAAAAAAAGAAAATGAAAATGACATGCTTTTTTGATTATTATATTATAAAACACATTACAGGTATAACAAATAATTCTATAGGTCAGGCATTTATAGAAAGATCAAATTGTACTATAAAGGATATGCTGAACAAACAGAAAGGGACCGAAAATACCCCCAGAAATAGATTACATAATGCTTTATTAACCTTGAATTTTCTTAACACTAATGAGAAAGGAACAACAGCAGCAGAAAGACATTGGATAATGGAAAAGTCTGCTGAACTAAATCAACCGATTTACTTCAAAGATGTGCTGACCTCTCAATGTAAGCCAGGAGATGTGCTACGTTGGGGAAGGGATTTTGCTCTTGTTTCCACAGGAGAAGAAAAATTGTGGATACCATCAAAATTAATAAAGGTTCGATTTGAAGAGGAGAAACCTCTTGGAAAGGAGAAATGACAACTCATCCACAATGATGATATTCATACAGGTGGTAAGAAAAACATATAGAATGGGGGCAGGGTTTTGTTCTTATCTCCACAGGAAAACACTCATCTTTGAGAAATTCAAGGGACCCTCGATGTTTGGATACTGACAGATGGAAAAATACCTGCCCAATAGGAAATATCAAGAAAACTGAATAGGTTGTGTAAGTAAAATATATTAAACCATATTTCTATATTTATAGAGCTGGTTTTGAATTTGGACTCTGGCTCAGTCCCTCTCCAATTCCAACCCTATTAGTAAGAGAAAAACCCAGAGTTTCTGTAGTTTCTGTCTCATGTCAAGAGCCTTGATATGGGACAGAAAGAAATATGAGTTTAGAAAACATCTTTGCTTTTCTTCATATCTATAATACTTTTCATTGAATATATCTATCATGCCTTTCATTGAATATATATATATAGTCTATATATGTCTATATGATTAATGTTTAAGGTTTTCACAATGAACAATGAGGGTTTTTGACGTGACATTTGAAGTTTCCAGGAAGAAGATGGGGCCCCATAACAACAACTCCACCTGGTTGATATGATGTCATGATACTGATAGCGCTACTACAAGACCTGCTTTGGGTACCAGCTGCACAAGACAGTTCCAACTTGGTTAGCTGAAATGGTGCACATCTTATACAACATTTTGGCCAGACCTGCACAAAATACTCAGAGACTATTGGCAATTTTAAAAGACATTGATCTTGAAATTTAACCATCATTTTACTTTCACAGGATCCCCCAGAAAGAACTTCGCCCACATGACAGCTGGAAGTAATTCTAGAGGACGACGTCCCCTCTCCCAGTAAAGTTTGCCCTTGGGTTTAGGGACATCATTTAGGGGTTGATTATAATTAGTATACGGTTGAGGGTTGGGGGAGAAATTTTATAAGCTCAGGGATCAATTTGAAAAAAAAGAGGGATGATGGGATAATAGATTTGTAATTATGAGTTACTGTTTTTAGACAAATAGGTTGGCATCGATTCTTGTATATTGATACAAAGTTAAATTATATTGACTATTGTATGCACGCATGTTTCTCCCTCTGTTTAAAACATTTTTTATCTATTGACATATGTTGTATTGATATATATTGTATATATTTACCATATTGCAGTGTACATTTCTACCTCTGATTAAGATACTTATATATTGTTTGTGTATTGATATATATTTACCATATTGCAATGTATATTTGTACATTGTTTATATTTGAAGGTCATTGTCCTCATTTGTTTCACAGTCGTTTATTGTCTTAGTTTTTAAGTTAGATAGGTATTGAGAATTATATAGATCAATAGTATTCTAAGTTTGTCATTTATAATTAGACTAATCAGGTCCTTTAGATACATAGAGATTATACTCAGTATAGATAGAAAATCTTCAACCTCTTCAAAGAGCTGTAGAAAATGACCTTTAATCTAACTCAGAGTTTTGTGGTAGTGAGGCACAATTGCTCCTGGCAACACTGCTCTATTCTCAAGAGAATGTTAAGCACCAAAGACACTCCACCTGGAGCCTTTCTTATTGGCAGAACTGGCCTTTGGGCAAAGAAATGCCCATACCTCAACCACTGACAGAGTTACAGAGCATGCATCAATGGATAAAACAGGACTTTCATATCCTGCCAAGACAGGGTAAGATAGTTTTGAAAAGTTGCTTGCCTTTGAAAATGGTATGTCAGTTATGTTAGGTCTTAGCCAAAGTTGGTTGCTTCAACGTTGCAAACGTGACTTTGGGTGATTGCCCAGGTAGCTAGTTGTCACTGTAATTTGTTGCATATTTTGGAAGTTGTTTTACTGAACTTCCTAATTACCCAGGTAACATTATTTCCCTTCTCAGATCTTTGATGGGGTTGAAGACTATATAAATGTAGTTACTTTTTTCTCATGACTTGGCCAAGTTATTTATTATACAAGACCTAAGCTAGTTAGAATAGGATATTTATATTTATTTTATATAATTTTGTAGTAGGTTTAGAACTCTCTTACTTAAACAAAAGGAGGTCCTTCTGCTCCTCCAGCCAATAGCTGCTGAGATACCAGCCCATTGGGGCTTGGTCTCTCTCCCTTTAAAAAAGCGGCTACTTCCCTTCTCACTCTCTTTGCTTCCTGCTCCGTTCCCTGATTGCGCAGAGGGCTGTTGTCTGAAACGGTGATCTGTAAGTTTTTTTCCCCTTTAAATAAATACCACCCTATTAATCATAATTCCAAACAGGTATGGGATTGTTTATGACTTATGCCTTCACCTGTTGATGGAACTGTTTGAGAAGGTTTGGGAGGTGTGGTTTTGTTGGAGGAGGTGTGTCATTGGAGGTATGCTTTGACGGTTCAGAAATCTATGCCATTCCCAGTTAGCTTGCTCTCTCTCTTCCTCCCTCCCTTTCTCCTCCTCCTTTTCATCCCCCTCACTTTTTCTCTCTACCTCATGCATGTGAATCAGATGTGAGTTCTCAGCTAGTGCTCCAGGACGTGCCTGCTTGCCTGGTGCCACATTCCCCAACATGATGTCCATTGACTCTAATCCTCTGGAACCATGAACTTCAAACTAAATGTTTTCTTTTATAAGTTGCCTTAGTAACAGTGTCTTATAACAACAATAAGACACTTGCTTTAGTTAGGAACATGTGGTGCATATGTAACAGATATTGTAGTGCTGTATTTTATCAGTGCAGCAAAATACTTTAGATAAGTTTTTTGGACAATATTTTTGTATTATACATTACTAAAGAGTTGTTTGGGGACTGGAAAAGTAGGTCAGTGGTTAAGAGCACTTGCTATTTTTTCAGAGGATGTGGGTTCAGTTCCTAGCACATCACAGTTTCAAGGGATCTGATGCCATCTTCTGATTTCCATGGATACCCGGTACACATACATGTAAGCAATACATTTATATACATAAAATAAAAATAAAAATAAATAAATCTTTTAAAAGAAGTAGGAATATAAGGCATCATCTTTGAATATTTTAACAAAAGCTTTGCTAATTATTAATGCTTATAATAATAATGCTTATAATAATAATAAAGGAGGACTGTTTATTTGCCACAAACAAAATAAAAATGGTAACTACTATTGATTAACTATTCCTTTTTGTGCAGACATTATACTTTTGCTTAGACTACTTCTATTAATATAATCTCAAAATTGAGATTGCACTATTTCTATTGCAATGTGATACCATTTTAGAGGCAGTGTTGATTATCTTTAGCAGTCAGGTTAAATCTAATTTCTATTAGAAATAATAGAAATAATTAGAAATAATAGAAATAAATAATTATAATTAAATTATTTATTTCTATTAGGATTATCTTCATTCCTTTTACATCAATTATGATTTTTTGATATAGGCTAGTTATAATTATATCACAATTCCATAAATGGAATGATGGTGAATGACTATTTGCACATAAATAAATTCAGACATTATTATATGGGATATAACAGATAAAGGACTTTGAAGCTTCCAGTTTTTTTTTCTGTGAAAACCGGAAAGCTGCACAACGGGACCACTGGAAGGAAGAAAAGGAGACCACATGTTCCTCTTTTGGGAGTTTACTTAAATAATCTTGAGCATGGTCCTGACCTCCCCCCCCTCAGGGAGGGGTCAGAACCTGGCCTTCTGGGATTTGGGTTCAGAGTGCTTACTCTCAGGGTCAGGGGTCTAGGATAGATGCAAGGTGCTGGGGCCTAAGCTTGACACCAATATGTTTCAATGAGATTTGTGTCCATTTTTTGCCATGACAACTCTCTCTGGAACGTGTTGAATTCTAAAAAGCGTAACCATGGGCAGGAGGTGGGATGCTGTGAACCTGCTGGCACGCAGTGAATTATTAAATGTTCTAGAGGAGAACTTTCTGTGAGCTGCAAGCTCAGTGCTCTCTCTTACTTCTCACTTTGGAAAAATAGTTCTGGAGAGAAGAGATAGCTCTTGCAAGTTCTCCTTTAAAAACATAGGCAGCAAAGAATCATGAAACCAGGGACAAGAACTTCATTTTCTATAAAAGCAAGCAAACAAACAAAAATCGTCTATTTGATTTGGAGGAACACTCATGAAACATTATGGCTAATTGTTAATTTCCTTTATAATTAAAAAGAGAAAACCTTTTTGCAGCAAATTATCAGAACTGCTCTCAGTCTCAAAAGAAGGTGAATGAAGATATCATTACGTAAGTCCAGATAAAGAATTATGTTCCTACTTCTTGTTTGCTACTTTATCCAATCAATATCTATAAGAAAAAAACTGGAAACCTTAATCATTCACATAAACATAAGTGGTTAAAGTAACTGTGCTTTTCTCTCATCCCATATATAGTATAATGAGTACATAATTTTCCCATATACTTAAAGGGTATGAGTCTGGGGAGATGGCTCCTTTAGTAAGGTGCTTGCTGTGTGAGTGGGAGGAACTGAGTTCAGGCCCCCGCCACCCTCTCTAAAGTCGGGCATGAGGGAGACAGATTCTTGAAGCTCATTAGCAAGACAGTATAGACAAGTCAGCCAGCTCCTTCTTCCACAAAATACCCCGTATTAACAGATAGGATGGAGCACAAAGAAACAACTAACATTGACCTTTGGCCTCTGAATGTGAAAGCACACACGTGTGTGCATAAACATAAATACTTTACAAACACAAAAGAATTAAAAATAAAAAGTATGTGGTCATATTTTCTGAGTTTTATGTGGCAAAACTGTCAACAACAGAAAAGTAAGGATCTGTGTTTCTATTGCCAGTTTTGCCCCTAGAACTGCAGTACCTCAATACCTCTGTTAAAAGATAAAGGATTTATTTTTCCTCTCCTAAAAAAATTATTTTCTTTTTAACTGTTATAGAAAAATGCAATTTAAATATATTTTAGAATTTGAAAGATGAGCTAGCAATAGAATTTCCTGGGAGAGCTTGGCATGTGTAAGGCCTTGGGTTTGAGGCTCAGCATCACAAAAAGAAAAACAAAGGAAGGCGTTAGAAGGAAGCGAGGTGGAAGATGAATCGAGGGAAACAGTGAAGCGAGTATTTCTTAAAATAAAGTTTAATTGAGACTAAGTTGTACCCAGATTAACAATCACAAAGTCTGGATAAAGGAAAGCCATAAAGGCATCTGTTTCATAAATCTGAGTTGGCAGTAAGCTTGACTTTACTCACCAGCACGTGCAGAGTTAGTGCTTCTCTTCACAGGATTTCTATACTTTATCACTAAGCTTTCTAAAATCTGCCAACAGACCAGAACAACACCTAGTATTTTCTCTGGCCCTTGACTGTTCATTTATTTGTAGTCTAAAATGGTCTGAACAACTGGGACTTAGAACTCTCCATATAGCTCAGAGTAGCTTTGAACTCATGGTCATCTTTCTTTTAGGTCTAAGAGTAAAGTCCTTAAGCACAGCCTCATGTGTCTCCATAGATACAAACTAATTGAAGTTAAATAAATCTAAATCCACTTCCTCGTCTCCATCGTTTTTTATGGACTCAGTGTGTGTGTGTTGGGGGAGGTGCTCCTGTTGACTGATGTTCTGTGACGTACACATTTTCTAAACTGTAGCACTGTTTTATGATTGAGCTGAAAGAGCTCTGTACAAATTCTGGATACGTGTTCTTTCCCAGATTTGAAAGGCAAACTGTTCTCTCCCACCAAGCTTCCATTTTCTTAAAGACTTATTGTGAAACACAAAAGTTTTACATTTTGATGAATTTCAATTTATTGAGTAGTTTCTTTATGAATTGTGCTTCAGAACTTTAGAATTCTTTGAGAAACCCAGAATTACTGCTTTTCTTGTAGACGTTTGCATGTTTTATCCCTTACCTGAAGACTTGTGGTTCAGTTTGACTTACTTTCTGACGAAGGAAAGGTTTACCCTCATCTTTCTCACACGTTGTCCCTGCATATTTTTAAGGACACAGCTATACTTTCTCACCCACACAACTTGTTACTTTTGCTAAAAGCCAACTATCTGTAACTATAAGGATTAATTTCTAACTTTTAAATTTTTGTAATTATCAATATATTTGTCTTTACACTAGCACCAGACAGTGTTCTTCTTTACTGTAGAATCGTTTTAATTAATAAATAAAATCAGAAATTAAGGCCCAGAACAACTTCATGTTTAAAAATGATCCTGGATCTTCTGAGTCCTACAAACATTTTAAAATGTCATTGTCAATTTTTTAAAGGAAACTATTATTATTTTTGTTTTGTTTTTTACACAGGGTCTGTCTGACTATGTATCCCTGGTCAGCATAAAAATCTCTGTATACACTAAGCTAGCTGGCCTGACCTCCCCGAAATCTACCTGCCTTTGCCTCCTGATGGTATTGAAAGTCTGTACCACCATTCCACAAGATGCCATTTTGGATTGATGCTTAAGACTGCTTATCAACAGCAAAGACATAAACAGAAGCACAAAAATGAGACCCGAAGAATGGTAGGGTTTTGTTCAGAAAACTAACTAAGATGACAGAGTAGCCTTTTTAAACCTCAATTGGGAATGCTGCAAAGTTTAGTACTAGACAAATCTGTAACTAAATCTTCAATGGACACCAGTCTTATTTTATTCTTTAGTTCTAAGTGCTTAGCTCCCTTGACTTCCAACAACTTACTTTCTTTGTAGGCTCTTTCTCTTCAGGGTAAATACCACCTGTCTGCAGAACTCCTGAACTAGGCCTTGTCCCTCTTTTCTTAACCTATAGTTTAATATTTGTCTCCCAGAGTCATTTTGCTCAGGTTGTTTGTTGGAATTCTGCCTGGAAGCTCTGGCTTCCAAATTCCACCTCCAGCCTTCTCCAGTCCTAGAGTCTTTAGACTCCCATTTCAGGACATAAAATATGTTCAAACCAGAACTGTTGCTAATACCTGAAAATCTGTCTTATTCCATGAAGGGCACTCTCCTGACTACACTGCTCTACCTAAGCATGCTATCATCTGTGCTAGCTCTTCTAACTCATGCTTACACACCAGTTACTCTGTGACCTATCCCGTTTGCTCCCTTCAAGTACACCTGAACCTTTCTTTTATGTCCCACTGTCCCCAGAATGTCAGTATCTGTATTGCACATGAGTACAGCTCTAGAACCTCACACAGTACATTCCCTATATGTGCTTATTAAATAACCTGCTTCTTACCTATCCTCCTAGTTAGGTGTTGACTTAGTCAGGGTTTCTATTGCTGTGAAGAGACACCATGACCATGGCAGCTCTTATAAAGGAACACATTTCATTGGAGCTGGCTTACAGTTGTAGAGGTTCAGTCCATTGTCATCACGGTGTGACATGGTGGCATGCAGGCAGACATGGTGCTGGAGAACGAGTTTTACATCTTGACCTGCAGACAACAGGAAGTGGTATGATCACTGGGCGTGGCTGGAGCACATATGAAACCTTAAAGCCTGCTTCCACAGTGACACATTCCCTCCAAAAAGGCCATACCTACTCCAGCAAAGCCACACCTTTTAATAGTGCCACACCCTACAGGCTTATGAGGGTCAATTACATTCAAACCACCAGAAGTGTTAAAACTCCTTTCAACTCTTCCGTAGTATGATCCATAAAATGACCACCCACAATATTTAGCCTTTACTTTAACATAAGTTCCTTACATTGAATTCTAGAATAAGGGTTACATATGTACACACACACACACACACACACACACCTTCTGTTAGTTGTTTGTGAATAGTAACATTTTCTTTCCCCTCTTATTCCACTTGGACCTATCTTAATTACCTCAACGTAATGTCTCCACCTGAAAGAATTATAAATACTTGAAGAAGATAGAATAAACAGATTTTAGAGTAGTAGTTTCTACTAATAACATCAAAATATGTTCTAGATGCTGTAAAGAAAAACTTAGAATATTATTTAATATTTGTTCATTCTGTTATTATTGGTGCTTTTAGTTATTTTCTAGGTTCCAGAATAAATTTCATCAAATATTAGTTCTCTTTTCTATTTTCAGTAGTTGCGGACAGATTTTCTTTGTCTTCTCACAGGGGAAAGCAATGCTTCTGCCGAATGTTCCAATCATCTTCCCTCAGGTTGACTCTGTACTATGTTGGGATAGGAGCAACTGCCCTCATTTTTGGCTACATACAGATTTCCTTCTGGGTCATAACCACTGCCCAGCAAACCAGAAGAATTCGAAAACAGTTCTTTCATTCAATTTTGGCACAAGACATCAGCTGGTTTGATGGTAGTGACATCTGTGAACTTAACACTCGCATAGCTGGGTAAGGGAAATACAGTTAGTGTATGGACTTGGTGTGTGCGTAAATGAACCACAGGAACCTTCTTTGTTGCAGTGACATCAACAAAATCTGTGATGGCGTTAGAGATAAGATGGCACTGCTGTTTCAGAACATGTCTGGGTTTTCTGTTGGCCTGGTGATGAAGCCCTCCCTGGTGGTTCTGTCCACGTCTCCTGTCATATGGCTTCGTCAGCAATGTGCTCGAGGGTAAGCAAGCAAGGTCGGGGGCTGGCAGCAGCAGAATGAGCCCAATACCTAACCAAGTTTGTAAAAGAGAGAGGGGTGTTTCTGTTTATTCTGTATGTCCTAAAGTATAAGAGAGATTATTGACCTCTAATTATTTAACCAGTAATTACTTTTATATCTTCAAATTATATGACTAAGATGTGATTTTCATCAATATCTTACTAACAGAAAAACTAGCCTAGTGCTGCTTCAAAGGGCAGCAAAGGTAGGGGAGGACTACACATTGGACATTAAGTTGTTGCTGACAGAGCTTTGTGTATTTGAAATCTCCCAATGAACGTACTCTGTGGAACTGAAGATTAGAAACCCTCAAGTAACAAACTTAAAATACTGCGTGATATCAGTCTCTTCAGTTTTACACTTTACATACCTTTAAATGGTTCAGAATATATATTAACACCTAAGTAAACATATTTTAGCTTTCCACACAAGTTTCTATTTTCATTCTCAATTGCTTTCTGAGCAATGTTGTAGTGTATGTACCAGAAGATTGTGATTTTATCCACAATCTGGCTTTGAAGCTACTGTGTATGTCTGTGTATCTCTGTGTAATCTCTCAGAATCATGTCTCTGCAGCTCTCCAGTGGCCATGCCCAGTACTTACATCAAAGGCACTATTACTTTTAATTTTTTAATACTCATTTTTCAAAAATACAATTCATAAAATCTCCTGACTCCCTTGCTATCATTATACAAGTCCAATCAAAGATTTCTAGCAATAAAAATATTCCATGATTGGCTGATTTCTTAAAAGGAAGCTTGGCTATTTATACAACAGATATTTTTAAAGATTTCTATGAACATATATTAATTTTACATAACAATATGTTTTATTCATACATGTATAAAATGTGGTTTATCATATTTACCTCAGTACCCTTTCTTGTCACCCTCACTCTCATCCCCTTGCACTAGTCACATCTTCTGTGCACATGACCCAATGTGTTTCAATGAGGTTGCTCAACACAGTATGAGTTCACTAGAGTATGAGGGGTTCTTTGGGGGAACAGGGACAATGTACACTGGCTATCCCTCTGAAGAACATTGGACAATAGGGCTGTAATATTCTGGCTTCTGGTGTTGACCTTGTAATCCTCATTTTTATTTCAAGATTGCATGAAATAAGGATCACTTGATAGGAAAAATACCTAGAATGTGTTACCAGGAGCAGATCCTTCTCCGCTCATGAGAAGCTATAAAGGGGTGCACAGGGGTGTATGTTTCACTATTGTACTAATGGTAGAGCAAGCAAATGAGAGCCAAGATTCCCCCAAATGATAAGAGGCATTAGGGTGGATGATCCCCTTCAGTTAAGTTTAATTTGGCAACTGTTTATGAATGTTCAATACTGCACACTGTGCAAGTATTAGCAAAGTGTGGTGTTTGCCCTCTAGGGATTTTCTGTGAAGATAATTGTCTTTTTTAAGTAAACTCAGAAAATGAATAGTTGTTTTCGATCAACTTGACACAATCTAGAGTCTTCCTAGATGGAGCTTCAATTGAGAAAATGTTCCATAAGATTCAGCTTTAAGGCATTTTCTTAATTAGCAATCAGTGGGGGAGGCCCAAGTTTATAGTTGGTGTTTCCATTCCTCAGCTAGTGGTTCTGGGTCCTCTAAAAAAGCAGGCTGAGCAATTTCTGTGGAGCAAGCTAATACGCAGCACGCCTCCATGGACTCTGTATCAGCTCCTGCCTCCAGATCCCTGTCCTGCTTGAGTTCCTGTCTTCACTGCTTTGAATGATGCTATGTTATGCTATGCTATGCTATGCTATGCTATGCTATGCTATGCTATGCTATGCTATGTTATATGGAACTGTGAACAAAATTAACCTTTTTCTCCCCAAGTTGCTTTTGGTCATGGTTTTCCTCACAGCAATAATAACTCTAATCAAGACATTAGTATTCAATTTAGGCCTTCCCATGACTTTACCTGCCACTCAAGCTTCCTGTACACCAAATACACTCCAATTGCATGAAATAGACTTTGAAATTTGGAAACAGGTAGTAGACAATATCAAAGCCCCGACTTGAATTGTATTACTGTTGTTCCCTCTCACTGAACTGTTTTACTAATTAAGACTACAAAAGCTTGACAAAAGGATCATAACTGAGGAATAGATGCTAGTTATTTTAGGTTTTTGAGAAATCAGAGAGCCCCATAGTCGCACCTACTGCCATCACTAGTAATGGTCTCCTTTTCACTTTGTCTCACCTGCTGGTGTTGAGTGCTGTAAATATTTGCTGAACACACTCCAGCATGTATGAACAGTAATAGTTTTAAGACCATTCCCCAACATATGAGAATCCAAGCTCCTCTTTCTGCCATAATCCTGTGATCTATGTCCCATGGACATAAAACTAATGTTTCTAATGTCCTTTCCCAAATCAGATACTCCCCATTGTACCAATAAAACTACCCACAGCTGAAAGAAGATTTTCAAATACAGAGAAAACAGTAGGGTTTTCCTAGCAGAAGGAAAAGTCAGATAAGGATGTAGATACTGGGTCATGGACAGACTCAGGATTTAAATCGTGTGTGGGTGAGGTGCCCGGCAAATTGTCACTTCCTCAGATACTCAAGTGGTTAATGCCCAGGTTTCCTTTCCTGCTGCTGTGACAAACAACTCTGACAAAGGCAACTTAGGAGAGGAGGGTTTGTGTTCACTCATAGTTCCTGGTCCATCACAGCAGGGGCATCAAAGCAGCAGTCAAGGGCAGAGAGAAAAATGTTGCATGCTTGTGCTTAGCCTTCTCCTTTCCTGTGCAACCCATGACCAAGGGAATGGGACCACCTGGAATGGGCAGGTGTCCCCACCTTTACTAATATAATCAAGAGATTATTCAACAAGCATGCTCACAGGTCAGGCTGATTGAATTCTAGATATGTCAAGCTGACAATTTAAAACTAGCCATCAGGGGGGCTAAAGTGATGGCTCAGTGGTTAAGAGCACTGCCTGCTCTTCCAAAGGTCCTGAGTTCAATTCCCAGCAACCACATGGTGGCTCACAACCATCTGTAATGAGATCTGGTGCCCTCTTCTGGCCTGCAGGCATACATGCAGACAGAATACTGAGACGACTGTATACATAATAAATTAATAAATAAATAAAATCTTTTTTGGAAAAAAGAAACTAGCCATTAGTTTTGTGCTGCTGTGGCATAAATAACAAGAAAAAGAGAGAGGTTTTATTTTTGGCTCATAGCTTGTTTTAGTCCACCCATGACAGGATAAATAGAGGAGAGAACCAGTAGTGGTGAAAAGGTATGTCTGGGCCTCCTAGCTCCAAGGACCAGGAAATAGAAAGAGAGAAAAAAATAGCCAGAAGTGGGCTCTACCCACCTGTAGGAGCCTATGTCATCAGCTAGACCCCAGTTCTAAAGATCCCATAGACTCCCCAAAAATATGACTAGCTCAGCCTCTGGGGAACATTTCACATTCAAACCACAGCGGATTCATTCTTTGTTTAACAGTGCCAAGGATTGTGCTTTCAGAAGAATCATCGTCATAATTGAATTCTTCAGTGGTTAAGAGCTTGAACTGCTTTTGAAGAAGACCCGGGTTTGGTTCCAGGACAATTTGGGATGGAAATTTTTCATAACTGCCTATATCTTCAGCTCCAACTCCAGGGGACCCCATGCCCACTGGTCTCTTCTGACACCTGCGCAGATGCACACACCAAACACACACACACAGAAACACATACACATAAATTCTAAGAAAAAAGAAAGCTTCACGTAGCCCTTTTCAACCTCGCAACCCAGGTCCTTTGAACTGCTACAGTTACGTGTGAAATTGTAACTCATGGAGTTGTTCTTCAGTTTCAACAGCAAACACATCAGTTCAGGCTGGGAACGTCCGGCTAGCTGAGCAAAAAAACCTGGTCTACTGCTTCCATTTCTGTTTGGTCTTCTTGTCTTATCATACATCTTCTTTCAACTAAGTTCACCTTTTAGATTTGAGACTTTCATAGTTAATGCTTTAAGTTCATTCATCTCATATGAAGAATTTGCATCTAATTTTTGCTCCTCTAGTTTCCACATCTACTTTGTAGAATTCTGTCCTTCTTTGACATGTTCTGTCATAGTGTCATAGGCATTTTTCTAAATATGGACAGCTGTCCAGTGACAGATGACAGAAACAGCTGATTTTCTGAGACAGAGTTTCTCCAGAATTTTGATACCTGTCCTGAACTCCCTCTATAAACCAGGCCGGTCTTGAACTCACAGAGACCCACCTGTTTCTGCATCCCCAGAGTGTGGGGATTAAAGGTGTGTGCTACCACTGCCTGGCTGACTGGAACAGTTTTTAAAACAGGGACAGGAAACAACACAATGTCTCTGAGCTATCAACTTCTATCACTCTCTTGCTAAAGCTTCCAGCGAAGGCCACGATGGAGGGGAGGAATGCACAGCAAGAGCTGCTTGCTGGCAGCTTCCCGTGGGCCAGCACAGGCAGCTGTAGAGACACATACCCATGACACAACTGTTGAGTGGAGAGTCGCCCTAAGAAAAAGCCAAGATAGTTCATCACCTCTCCACATTCCTACCTAAGTTACCTCGCATTTCTCTGTGAACCCAGGCTACACATGTCCTCCTTCCCATCGTCTTTCTCACTGCGGAAAGGTGACTGTTGTTTGCTCTGTTTCTGTAGGTTTTCTTCAGTGTGATCCATAGTAGTTATTGCATTGGATCTGCAGCCCCTCACTTGGAAACCTTCACCATAGCCCGTGGAGCTGTCTTAAATATTTTTCAGGTTATTGATAAAGCTTTGAAATATAGCAGTCCTTACTGCAAGAAGGAGCCCAAAAGACAGACACACTCTTTTCATTCAAACCTTAGTGGTCATTTGGTTATAGGATGAAAAACTGCTTTTAACTCTTTTGTGGGGAATATGGGTCTTATTGAAAACTTCATGGCTAACTTCATGCACTTCTAAAACAGGAAGAAAATTTGAAAAGAAACTTAAAGCTCATCTCTAAAGTATTTGGGGAGAGAGGCATTATCAGCTTGGCCCTTTAAAGATGTATAACAGTCTCTTTGTTTTTCCAAGAAACCCAATATAGATAACTTCTCAACAACTGGATATAAGCCTGAATGTGTAGAAGGAAGTAAAGAATTTAAAAATGTTTCTTTCAGCTATCCATCAAGACAGTCTGTCCAGGTAACTTAAGTTCACTTGCATATTTTCTGACATTATCTTCTGACAAGAATATTTCTTTCTTTCTCCTTATCCCCCCCCCCCAAAGATGGACTGCGCCCAAATAAATGTCATCACTCTAGAGGCAGTGGGACCAGGGCTGGGATTTTTTTTTAAAAGATTCGTTTGTTTGTGTATGTGTGATACGTGTGTATGCATGTTCACTTGTTGGTGTGCTCGTACATGTGTGCATATGTCTGTGGAGGCCACGGATCAGCATTTGGTGTCCTCCTTGGTCATTCTCCACCTTACATATCGAGGAAGGATCTCTCACTTGAACCCAAAGCTCACCAGTTCATCCAGTCTAGCTAGCCAGTTTGCTCAGGGATCCCAAAGCCCAGGATTATGATGGGCTGCCCACACACCTCCCAGCAATCCTGTGAGTGCTGGGAAGAGAACTACCAGCCTCACATTTGCATGCCAAGTGCTTGCCCAACAAGCCCCAGTCCCTCTCTGCGATAACTTTGATCCACATTTTGGCTAATTGCTTAGAGAGCCAATTAGACTAAAAGCAAGGCTGACTGATAAGAAATGGGCAAATATCTCTTAGGACAGTGGTTTATCTTTTCCAGCCTCTCTCCTATGGTTAACTATTAGGCACTTTTAACTCCGTGTTTCCTCGCTCTGTATTTCTGAGCACACCAAAATGTCTTGGATTAATGAATGCTGCCACCTCCTGGTAGCACCTGGGTATTATCCAGTTGCATTTGGACCTGGGAGTTCCAACCACCAGTTATTATGCACTTGTTAGGCCTTCCCCTCTTTCAGCTCTGAGGCTTCTACTGCATCAGCAACTGTGTCTTTGATACACTTCCTCTCACTTTACAGGCGTGTGCACGTGCACACTCGAGCATACGCACGCACAGAGTCTGTCTCACTCTTAGAAGGGGACTACAGTCTAGCTTACTGCCCTCCTGGAGTGCACTCCGTAAACTAATCTTTAACACCCAAATAGCTCTTGGAAAAACATATCTGTCTTTCCTGTTAACTTTGTCCTTACATTTAATTAATATGTTTAGTCCCTTTGCTACCCACCCATAAAATAGTATTGTTAAAGATTGCAAAAGGCAGCTACTAACAAAATCCATAATTAGGAGAAAAGGGGGGCACAATTTTAAGTGAGCCAGATGAGATTCCTATTGCATCAGTGTTCCTTAATCATACCAAATCACCTTACAGAATTTGGGTTAAAATTGTGTGTCCACTCCCACTACCTTGTTTTTTCTCTATCTCTTTTACAGGGATTCTCTCATCAAAGTCTTTTGTTTTATTATTTGTTTGTCACTGATTATTGTTGCACAAGGTTTTGCCTTTTCACCTCACAAGACTGAAATTAAAGTAGTATTTTATTATATAGTATTATATATTTTGAATATATATTCAGGTTGGCTTCTGGGCCCGGAGCATCAATTGTGCCATTATAGTGCTCTGAGCCATGTTGTTCTAAACAATTCCTTGTTTGTTTCTTTGATTTGAAACTGGGTTTTCACTATGTAGCCCAGGTCAGCTTCAAACTTGGACAGGTGTGTGCCACCATATTTGGGTAAGCAGTTGTTTTAAACTCATTGTTGGGGAGGGAGAAACCCGCCACTTTGCACACATGGACATCAGAGGACGGCTCAGCTTTCAGGACATGGTTCTCATTCCCACTTACTGAAACAGGTCCCTCTCTCATTTCTGCTGATTTGATGAATACCCAATGTTAGCTGGCCTATGATCTTCCAAGGTAAAATCTACAAATCTACTGCATTGAATTTTTTTAAATGGGTTTCAGGAATTGAACCCAAATCATCTGGCTTGTGTGGTTAACATTTTTATATGCTGAGCCATCTCCCCACACTTAAATTAACTTTTGAACATAAAGGCCTACTGGCTTTAAGTGAGGACACATTCTTCCATGGAAAGAAGGGAAACCAGGCTGAGGTGAAAGTGTACGTGGAGCACACCCTCTCATTAGTCCACGGTGCTCATCTCCTTTCCAAAGCTGCCTTGCTGGTTGGCACACTGGAGGGTTCACACTGTGCTTATTTAAATATTTGTTTCTTTACAAATGGTGAGGTGAAAAGAAAAGGCTCATTTGGAGCTGAAAACACACAGTTGGAGCAAAACTCTCTGAGGGAGGCTATTAGTAGGCAGCTCTTATCATTGGTGAGACTGTTCCCATAAAGCAAGTCCTGGGATACTAAAGCCTGGTAGTGACTCTCAGACATGGAGAAAATTTTGTAAATATCTCCACTGTGCTAAAATGTGTGCTTAGATCCAAGTGAGTGACCAGAACTGGTAAGACCTCACTTGCGCCCCGTGGGCTTGCCAACTGCTTTCTTGAATATACCTTGTAGAAATGTTAGACTTATTCTAAGGGAGATCTTTGTTGAATAACTCAAAGTTACCGTCAAGATTTAATCTGTGCAAATTAAAAGATAAAAATTTAATTTAGTTGTCATGTGATTCGTGTAAGAGAGAACTGGAGAGATGTCTCAGCAGTTAAGAACACTGGCTGCTCTTTCAGAGGACCAGGATTCAATCCCCACCACCAACATGGCAGCTCACAACTGTCCATAACTCAAGTTCCAGGAGATCTGGCATCCTCACACAGATGTACATGCAGGCAAACTTCCATGCATATAAAATAAAAATAAATAATTTTCTAAAAAAAAAAGATTTATGTGAGATATTTCAGTTAAAATGTGAAGTTTGCATGCTTGACAGAGGCTGAGTTGGTAAAGTGCTCACTATTCAAACATGAGGATCAGGGTCCAAACCCCCCCCCCCCGCCCTCACTTAAAGCCTCCCCCTAATCCCAGCATGCGGGAGGCAGAGAAAGCTAGTCACCCCAGGCTCCCTAAAATACTGAGCTCCACGCTCAGAGAGACCCTGCCTCAATATTTAATGCAGAGAACTGGGGAATATTCCTGATGCTAACCTCGGGCCTCCATGTGTATGCATACACATGCATATAATATTATATACATGGAATGCACATCAGGCATACGTGTTTAGGAAAAATTGTAATATTTCTTTGGAAAGAGGAAGGAATTCAAGGAGAGGGAGGGAAGAGGAAAGGTAAAGAAATGAAGGGATGAATGTGATCAATATATATTATATGTATGTAAGAAAATGCCACAATGAAACCCTTTATTTTTGTACAATTAAAATATGCTAATAAAAAAGCAAAAAAAGTGAATGGTTTAGCTAGTTGTAGCTAGATAACTCTTAAATTATATCTCCTCTTTGTATAGAGAAAATTTTAAACATTATACTCCCAAACTATATATTATTGGAGATATAAATGAAATATTATACAAATAAATATAATATCTGAATTGTTTATTGTTACATAAGAATTTTTCTGTTTATGTTACAAATGAACTATCTAGCTGAATGCACATGTTGTCTAGAATACCTAATGGTATCATTTTCTGTGTACAAAACAGATTCTCAAAGGTCTCAATCTCAAGATTAATTCTGGAGAGACAGTAGCTTTGGTTGGTCCCAGTGACAGTGGCAAGAGCACAACAGTCCAGCTTCTGCAGAGGCTATATGACCCCGAAGAAGGCTGTGTAAGTACAAACGCTAGGAAAACCAGGGGAAAGAGACCAGGAGATGGCTCAGTGTTTCAGGGCTTGCTATGTGGTCACAGGTGCTGTATTCCCAGCACTCACTTAAAACCAGGCCTGGCCTGGCTTACACATCCGCAGTCTCAGTGCCAGCCAAGTAAGGACAGGGGGATCTGGGAGTCTTGCTGGCCAGATGAGTGTTGTAGGAGGGCGCTTGTTTGTTCCCGGTGCTTAGCCCTGAAATAACAAAACAGAATCTGTATTAATTAAATCACTGCTTGGCCCATTAGCTCTAGCTTCTTATTGACTAACTCTTACATTTAATTTAGCCCATTTCTATTCATCTGTGTATTGCCATGTGGCTGTGGCTTACCAACAAAGTTTTGGCACAACTGTCTCTGGCTCCATGGCTTCTTTAAACTCCACTTTCCTTCTTCCAGCATTCAGTTTAGTTTTCCTTGCCTTGCTCTACTCTTTTGCCCTATGACAGGCCAAGGCAGTTTCTTGTTCAACCAGTGGTACTCACAGCATACAGAGGGGAATCCCACATCAGACGCACATCTCAACCCCAGTGCTGGGGAGCTAGAGACAGGAGAATCTGTGAGGCTTGCTGGCCGAATGTATATCTGCAACCCTGGTGCTGGGGAAGTGCAGATGGGAGAATCTCTGGGGCTTGCTGGCCAGCCAGTGTGGATACATTGGTGAGCTCTGAATTCCCTAAGAGGCCTTATCTCAAAAACTAAGGAGGAAAGTGATCCAGGAAGATACCCAAACATTGGTCTCTATGCATACACAAACATTGGTCTCTACAAACATACATGAACATGTACACACATACACAAAAAGAAAGAAAAGGCATGTACACAGAATGGAATTTGGAAATACTACCAGCTGTGCCAACTCCCAGTATTTACAGTGACACTGAGACTAGCTGGGCTGGTCTCCTTCCTGTGCAGCTCTTCATTCAGCTGATGTGCTCCTGGTGTGTCTGGGCTCTGGGAAGCCTACAGTGAGCAAGCAGACAAACGCCTCTGCCTTTTGGAGTCCGCATTCTTACATGTAGATTGACAACAAAGAGAGTAAATAGACTATGGACCAGGTTCAAGGTTAATGAGTGGAGGGAAAATAGCAGGGTTTGTGGTGCCAGTTGTCCTAGTGAGGGCTTCCATTGCTGTGAAGACACCATGACCATGGCATCTCTTAGAAACGAAAACATCTAATTGTGTCTGATTTACAGTTCAGCGGTTTAGTCCATTGTTATCATAGTTGGAAGACTGGCAGCAGGCAGACATGGTACGGGATGAATAGTCCTACATCTGGTTCTGCAGGCAGCAGAAGGACAATGAGCCACACTAGGCCTGGCTTGAGCCTCTGAGACCTCGAAGCCTGCCCCCAGTGACATAATTCCTCCAACAATGCCACACTTCCCAATAACACCAGTCCCCATGAGCCCATGAGGCCAATTTCACTCCTACTACCATACTAGTTCTTCTAAATAATTTCAAAATTTAGCTGGGCATGGTGATACATACCTACATACCTAAAATGTTAGCACTCAGGATGTTGAGGAAGAGATCTCATGAGTTTAGACCCAGCCTGGGCTACATAGTGAAACTATGTTTTCAAAAAAAAAAGAGAGAGAGAGAGAGCAAAAGCTGAAGTTGTACTTGAGTGGTATTAGTGAGTGTGTGCCTGGAATGCCACGGCACAGCAAACAACAGAAAAATAGAATTTCAAAATGTGTTAGAAGAGAAATCTCTATAGAATGCATGCTTATTCTTTTAAAATTGTATTTATTCCTATTTCAAGAGAGTGCCCGGGAGGGGGTGACAGAAGCTACAGATCATGTGTGCAGTTCAGAAAATGCTCCTCTCCACCCACCGTCATATGGGTCCCAAGGATCGAATTCAAGTGGACAGGCTCATACAGCAGATGTCCTTACCTGCGGAACCATCCCTCTGGCCCACTCTTTCTCATTGTCCGTAATCTATAATGTTGGCATTAACTCTTGCCTGAAGCTGGTATTCCCAGGAACGTGATTCTTGATGCTTTTCCTTAACATCAATTGATGTCTTTAAAAAGAAAATCTTGTAGAAGCTAGTCTCTTTTAAATTGCACATCTCAGTTCAAGTTTAAAATATTATAGACATCAAGTCCATGCTAATATCGACTAAAGAAATCACTGGATGAGGGAAAAGCAGTGTCCAGTCTCACATAAATGCCAGGCTGTGAGGAGTGGAGTCTGATGGCCACATCTAGGCCTGTCCCTAGAATATGCTGTGGTAACAGTGCCACCTAGGAAGATAGCTTATTTACTATGAGTTAAAACGATGAGTGGAAGGAACTTTGGTATTTTGTGATTGAACAGATGTTGAGAAACTAGGAAGACTAGATATAACATTGCACTGAGAAATTAGAAGGCTAGAACATTGCAATGAGAAATGAGGAAGGCTAGAATATTAGCGGTGCCATCAGTCTGAAAACGGCAAAGTTGATGGCTTCTGTCTCCATAATAACATCTGTAGCACCTACAGTGTTTGTGTGCCTGTATCTTATTGACAACTTTACTAATACTTAATTTGTGGCTTCATGGGATTTTAAATTGGTGGTTTCTTGAAGATTTATTGATTCCAATCTACCAGGGAAAAAAAAAAACTCAGTGTTATTCGAACAATAAATATTTTACCAAAATATAGCTAGTCCTTGCCAAGATTACTACTTTTCGGTTTATTCTTTAGTTTAAGAAGATAGTCGAAAGCCAAGACCTCAGACGGCATCATAGCCTGCTTGGTTCTTTGGTTTGGCACATCACAGTGGATGAGAACGACATCCGAGATTAAAACGTGAGGCATTACTGAGAGCACATCGGAGTGGTCAGCCAAGAGCCCGTTTTGTTTGGGACCACCATTGGTAACAATATTAAGTTTGGGCGTAAAGGCGCTAGTGAAGAGATAGAGCAGGCAGCGAAGGAGGCGAATGCCTACGACTTCATAATGGCCTTCCCTAAGGTGAGCATGGTGCTGCCTGGATTCTGAGCACCTCTGGGTTCCGCACAGCCCAGGGCGGGCTAACTCACATTGTACAGTGCCAGGGTTGATGTGGGGAGTATTTCAGATGCAACACCTGCAGAGAAGGGAAAGCTCTAAAGTCCAAAAGAGAAAGACCAGTTGCAAAAGTTATTTATTATATTTAATTTTTATTGTGTTTCACTGTACCTTAAAGAGAGAGAATGATACCCATGTTAAAGCAGGACAAAGAAATTCGAGAAAATCCTGAGCGCAAGCTGAGAAATGGTTTCTGCAAAAATGTTGGTTTGTACCGCCACCTAGTGGTTAATAATGAGAAAGGCGCGCTCAAACACAGGATTGTTGAGCAAGGTTGAGGGGACCGAGGAGAAGAAATAAACAATGCATAAGAAATGGGGAACTGTAAAAAGACATAATAAATTTGAAATTCTTGACAACAATACATGTATCAGTGAGCATTGTGTGGTAATTATTAAATCATTTATCTACTTATCCTGTTTTTAAGTTAATCAGAACCACTTAAAAATTGTGGGATGCACCCACTAAGATATATTATAAAAAAAAAAAAATCTGACACTTGAAAGTTGAAATTAAAGTACATCTAAAATTCATCATTCCAGAAAGTCACAATAGCAAAAAACATTCATTTTGAGGGACATATTTACATTAATTATAACAAAATAACTCTTTTTAAAATAATGTATATTATGCCATGATTTATCATAGTAATTAGCAAGGAATGTAAGTCAGAAATATAACAAGTGGCTTAAAGGCTTTTCCCCTGTAGTTGAGAAGGTATTTCCTTTTGTTGACCTCACTCTTGTCAGCGAATTTCCTTATAACACACGGTGCTCTCTTGCCTCTCACTTAGATTGGGGACAGATTCTGTGAGCTCTTCAACCCAACTCTAAAAGTTAGTGCTCACTTTACTAAAAGAGCATTTATAGACAAGATGCTCCTCACAGCAAACCTAATAGTAACTCACAATGCTGTAATCCAAAGGAGAAACTACACGCTAGCATGATGAATACTGAAGTTCACAGGCGTGTTTTAACTAGAAAAGAGAGGAAAAGAGAGAGAGAGAGAGAGAGAGAGAGAGAGAGAGAGAAGGGGTTAGGGGAAGGGGGAATTGAAGAAGGAAAAAGAGGGGAGTAGAGAATGGGAGAAGGAGGAATAAAGGAAGAGGAACAACAATGGAAGGTCATTCTTGACCACAGATCCTCATCACTGACCACATGGGGATGCTATGTACTCCATGGCCTGTGGACAAAACAACCTGGAAAGGGTCACCCCTTTGAAGACACAAACTGCCAAACACATTAAAAAAAAGAAAAAACAACCAACTAATGACCCCCAAACGCCCTTTAAAAATCAACTGAATCATTAAAAGGTAGCAAACATAATTTAAAAATTAAAATGTTCAAAATATCATCAAAATTAAGATTTCTTAAAAGTACATTTAATAAAAGATTGACCAAAATAATGAAAGAGGTCCTAATTAAGTTGTACCTTATTTACTAAAGATTCGATATTTTTAAGGTGATATATTCTTCCCAAGTTGACCTATAAATCTGATTCTTCAGCAGTCAGAGAATTCCATGAATCTTTTGTATATGTGTAGGAAAACCATTTTGTATTTATAAAATCAAAATGTGAGAAGTAGACAAAGCAGCTTTAAAAACAGAACAACAAAACTAGCAGACACTCACAGCATCTAGTCCAAGAGAAGACTTGGAAGTGGTTACTGCAGAAGTGTAAGGGCAAGACAATGTGCAGAGCAGCAGGCTCCAGAAACAGCCCACGTGCCCATTTTTAACAAGTGGAATAGAATCAAGCAGGTGAAAAAAAATGTAAATGGATGGTCCTGGAATAAGACAACCAAAGAGCTGTGTAGGTTTTGCTCACGCCACACACAAAAAATTAATTTGTCATAGAGCAAAATATTAGCTTGGATTTCAAAAATGAAAATTTAGAAAAGCACTCAGTAGGCTGATGCAGGAGGATCACCATTTAGAGGCCAGCCCACATTACTTAGCAAGTACAAGACAATCTGAGCTATACAGTAAGACAGTCTCAAAAGAATAATTAATTAATAGTGTAGGTGAAAGAAGAAAATCACAATGTTGCAATAAGCAAAGAATTCAGAAGCTATGTGCTATTGTTTAGAGGGGTAAACTGAAAGGAGAGAGACAGCTCAGCAGTTAATAGCACTTGCTGCTCTTCCAGAAGACTTAAATTTGGCTCCCAGCACACATACTGGACAGCTCACAACCACCTGTAGTTCTAGTACCAGTGGACCACGTACCCTTTTCTGGCCTCCCTAGGCACCTGCACACACACACACACACACACACACACACACACACACACACACAAATAAAGATTTAAAAAGTAAATCTTAAAAAAGAAATACTAAACTGGCCAAGCATGTGTGATCCAGAGGCAGTGGCAGGAGAATGTCGTGTCTGTCTGAGCAGTGGCAGGAGAATGTCGTGTCTGAGCAGTGGCAGGAGAATGTCGTGTCTGTCTGAGTAGCGGCAGGAGAATGTCGTGTCTGAGAAGTCTGAGCTGATAATAAATAAGACATTGTCCCCGAAACAGAGTGAGGATATGATCAAGATACATTGTACACATGTAGGAAATTTCTCTTAAAAATATTACAAAAAGAACTGAAACTAAAGTCTAGGGATGTAACTTAGTGTGGAGTGTTTGCCTGGAGTGCACAAGACCCTGGGCTCACCCACCTCCCCCAACACCCAAGAGAAGAGGAAAGAAACACGAGAAAGATTAAATTAAATTAAGACCTTCTTTCAAAAACCACCATTTAGAAACTGAAACGGCTAGACACACGGTACCAGAACATGTTCTGAATGTCTCTGCTTGACCAACTGCAGGGCACAGGGAGCTTCATGTTTGGAACCCAACTCAGAGAGAGTCCACGAGGAGTTGGGAGTTGGATGGTCTGAGGTCCTAGAAGGTAGACATAATCGAAATACATTGCATATGTGTGAAATCACCAAAGGAAAAAAATGTAAAATACAAAAATCAAAACCCACAACACTACCACACTGATCAAAACCCACAACACTACCACACTGGTTTGCCTGGCATGCAAGAAGCCCCAGGTTCAATTCTCAACACCACATATATAAATCCTGACATTATGGCCCATGCTTGTAATCTCAGCACTTGGGAAGTGTAGGCGGGAAAAGAGACACAAAAACAGTTCAAGGTCATCCTGGGTTGCAGAGCAAATTTTAGGTCACCCTGATCTGCACTAAATACTCTCAAAAATAAGTTAAAAAAAAGAGGAGAGAGAGAGATGACAGACAGATACATAAGTTTGCACTATGGAAACCAAATGTAAATATTTTGAAACAATGTCTGCTTTTGACTCAAAAAGATCCTGAGATTTTGTAGGTCACAGTAGTGTTCTGTTCAGTAACTGTGTGACAGTGGCATGCTGTAGAAACTTGTTTGCCAAAAACAACAGGGCTGTATCCATAAAATGTGTCCATTTATTGAGTATTTGATTCGTTGTCTGCACTACATGTGTGCTGTGTCCATGGAGAGCAGGAGAGGGCATCAGATCCTTGAGAACGGGAGTTACAGGAGATTGTTAACACCATGTGGATGTTGGCAACCAAATGTGTATCCTCTACCAAAGTGGCAAGTACTCTTAACCACTGAGACATCACTTCAGCCCCAAGACTAACATTTTTTTAGAGAAAAAAGTCTCTAGAAATTAAATGTTTAGAAAGAATATTTAAACTTCTATCCTTGTTGAAATGTGTGCCAAAATCCAACAGAATATGACTAATACAGATCACAGATGTTAGAAGCTATCCCACTATAATAAAATAATGCTCAATTTATTAAAAACGCATTTATCAAGAAATAAATAAAGAACAGAGCCTTAAATTTTTCCCAAGACTGAAAAATACTTTTAGCAAAAAAATAAGGCTTTTAAAAAAGAAGTTGTGATAAATTTTGTTTCAGCTTGTTTGGGCTTTGTGTGGTGTTTTTGTTTTGGTTGGTTGGTTGATTTTTTTGTTGTTGTTACTTTTGTTTTGTTTGTTTAAGACAGAGCCCTTCCTGTCCTGAGACTCACTACATAAACAAGACTGGCTTGAACTCACAGAGACCCACCTGCCTCTGCCTCCTCAGTGCTGGAATTAAAGCCATACACCACCATACCATACTTTTGGGCTTGTTTCTAACGCGAGTTCTCCTATACCCAACATTGACTTGAGAATGGCCTTGACTCCTGAGCATCCTGCCCAGACTTCTCAGCACTGGGTTTCCGCGTGGGCAGCACCACACCCTACTAAATGGCATTCATTCTGTCATCCTGCTTTTCAGAGTCTCCAAGAGGAAAAGTATAGAGAACCTATCAAACTGTGAACAAATACTTATATTACAGTGTATGCTTCATATATTTTTTAAAGTATTCTGAGGTCATCTAAAAGACATTTGAAAATTCACTACAATTAAGAATTTTTCTGTTTATCTGGTTTGGTCCGAAGTCACGTTTCCTTACTGTCTTTGCAAGGACCTTTTCTCAGAGATGTTCGTTTTTACAATGATCAGATCAAAGAGTCTGGATGGCCAAGCTAAAGCAGTCATTAGCTGGTATCAAAACACAAAATGTGCTTGTCATTTCCCCTTCTAATCATTTAATCACCCTTCTATCTATGTGCCTTTCCCTCTCTGTATCTCATTAGAAATTCAACACACTAGTGGGGGAGCAAGGAGCTCAGATGAGCGGAGGCCAGAAACAGAGAATATCATCATTGCTCGAGTGCTAGTTTGAAACCCCAAAATTCTGATCTAGACTAGGCTACATCTGCCCTTGACACAGAAAGTGAGTCAGTTGCTCAAACTGCACCGGAGAAGGTAAGTGGACAGAATCTTTTCTGAGTCTCACATTGCTGGTTCACTGTTGTTTTTAAGTACAAGAAAGTGCAGATTTGGGGTTCTTTGGATACCAGCTTGCAGTTCCCAGAGTTCCTCTGGTATGGGTCCAGGGTGTGACCTGGAGAAATAAATGCTACAATTGACATTAAGCATACACACACACACACACACACACACACACACACACACACACACAAGCCATCAATCTGTATAACATTCCATTCCAGCAGGTCTCACCTTCCTGTAGAAACATCCTCATCACAGAAACAGCAATGGTTGTCTTTTGCTTCTTCTATTCACACTGATGGATTTTTCTCTTCTTTAATAACTTTTCTTCTTTAATGCCTCATAAGGGCATTCACATTAACACAATTTCACTTAAAGCAGAGTACTGGAATCTGAGAGACTTTATAATGACTTTGACATCACTCAGTGACCCAGCCTCATTTCTTAATGACACATTTTATTCTTCATTACTAACCCATTTATTCCATCACTGCTTTCGTAGCTATATTGGCTGATATAAAATATGCATGTACCTATGCACACATGTATATAGATACAACCATATATGTATATAGATATAATGTATGTTTGTTTATGGACTACCTATGTATGTGTATACATTCTTAGCAAATGTGTGGATATCGGGTCAATGAGATGGCTCAGTTAGTAAAGGCTGAGATGACAAACCTGATGATCTGAGTTTGATCTGGGGGAAGTTGTCTGTCGACCCTCATAAGTACAACTTTGTGTGAGCACACACATACACACACACAGATATATGTGTGTGTGTGTGAATATATGCACATATACGACATTCACAGATACTTTAACATATTTTAGACTTAAAACTATTAAAAAGATCTGCATAATGCAAACAATGACTGTGATTACAATTCTCGAGCCCAGCTTAATTTTCTACGGAATTTTAAAGTCAAATCTCAAGAAGAACACTCTAGTGTCATCTGAACATGGATAGTAACTCACTTATCTTTAATGTTCTAAATCCTAGAGCATAGACTCAAGTATTCTCAAGGTGTCACTGCATGGCCCCCATCTTCTAGTCTCCTCTTTTTTCTCACCAAGAATGTCCTAGTGATGTTAAGAGATACTGGCTTCAGTGGGCAGCCTCTGGGATTTCCAGGTCTCTGCATCCTGAAACAAGAGGTTTGGACAGGAGCAGGAGGATAGTAGCAGAAACAGAGGAAGTTTATCAAGAAAAATACATTTCCCAGAGAGGAACAGGTTAGAGCTGAGAGAAAAGTTAGCACAGTGGCCCCAAGCCGGCTGGGCTTGGCATGGGCTTGCTTTGTTTTGTGTGTATCCAGGTTTCTTCACAGGGTCTGTCTTTTAATTCTAGCCCTGGTGATGGTAGAGGCTTCCAGTCTTTGTCTCTCGCTCCTGATTTCTTTCACATAATAATTCACAGTCATGTTGAAAGCTTTCAGTCTTGTGCTCTGCCTTACTGTCCTGAATAGTAATAAATTAAATGTATCCCAATAGTTATTTCTCCCAGACATCATGAGATGCTTAAAAAAAAAAACTAGCAAAAGATCTTACTCACACCAAGGAACTATTTCCCGTTTTTCATGATGGCATGGGCTCGTTTGTGTGCATGCAGAGATTACAATGGGGACACAACCTTTCAGACAGAAAACATTTTCCCTAATTATTTTATCACTTTAAGTAAAAGTACAGTACATTTATGATGGAGGCGAGTCATCTGTCTATCTGTTGCTTTCATTGGTTAATTAATAAAGAAACTGCTTGGCCTGATAGGTCAGAAAATAGGTGGGTGGATTAGACAGAACAGAATTCTGGGAAGAAAGGAAGTGAGGCAGACGCCATGGGGCCAGTAGCCAGGTCAGACATGCTGAATCTTTCCCTGTAAGCCATCACCTCGTGGTGCTATAGATTATTAGAAATGGGTTAATCAAGATGTGAGAATTAGCCAATAAGAGGCTAAAACTAAGGGGCCAGGCAGTGTTTAAATGAATACAGTTTATATGATGTTATTTCTGGGGCTAAGTTAGCCATGCGGGAGCCAGGTGGGATGAAAAGGAGGCTTGCTCACCTCATCACTACACATTTATATTAAATAAAAATCTGAAAATTCAAAAAATTACAATTCATAGGTACAATAATTAAATACATGCACTATTAATATTTTGACATATCTTATTTAGTCTTTTTTCCTACAGATATTTTAAACATTGTCATAACAAAAGACATTAATTTTCTTCCGCAGTTCCCATGTAGCATTCTAACATGATTTCATTGGTTTTGATTCTGAATCACCAATGCTTTGAAGAGTTTCCTGTTTTTATAGATTGGAACTACGAGACTTTGAAACAAGCCTCCTTCACCTCAGGAATCATATCCTTTCAGAGGGAGGAGGAAGCAATTGCATCTGAGCCTAACACCACCCTTCCAGGGCTGACAGGGGATCAAAACAAGCTTCTTGGTGTTCAGAGTTCCACTTTCCTTCTCTGAAGTGGAGGATAATAGAATTAGAAATAAGAAAATTAAATGTCTGTGATAGATGAGCAGTGATGCGGACAATCACTTGCAGTGTGCCTGCTGAGCACCTGCTCCTGGGCCGGGCTTGAATGGGAAGCACTGAGCTCAAAGTTAGTAAGTGCAGAAAAACAAGCTCAGAGGCTCAAATGGGTTCACAGAACTGTTTCAGCTCTGGTGTATGCCAGCTAGCACAGAGTATCGTAGTGTAGTGACAGGTGCCCTGGATGGCAGAAACAGACCTTACCTATGATGAGGTCACTAGAACACTCATTTAATTAAAACCTAACAATGACATCATGCACAAAAATCAACTCCAGGTAAATTAAAGGTTTAAACATGAGAGGCACAATAATAAAAAAAAAATAGACAGAAAACTATCTGTGTGTGACAGAGGGTAATATTTTGAAATAGGACTCAAAAGACACAATTGGAAAAGAGATGAGTCACTAAAGTGGACATCTCTAAAATCGGATGTTTCTATCCATCGGAAGACAGCTAGCGTGAGAAGAAAACCTCATATGAGGGAGAAACAGTTGTGATAATACATAGCTTCTCACCAAGTCCCATAACTAGACTGTGCAAACAACTCCTGATAATTAGGAAGAAAAAGATGGCTCCCAAAGGAAAAAGGGCAAAAGATTTAGGCTAATCACAAAACACAGTGTACATATTTTCACTAGCCAGTTGAAAAGTTGGTCAACTGCATTAGCCATTAGGAAAATGTAAATAAAGATTTCAATGTAATAGCACTCATTTATCTGACAAAAAGAGATCAACTCATTGGTGCAGATAGAATGCTGCCTGCTCTCTCCTGCCTCGTGGGGCTCTATAGATTGGACACCCTATGCCTCAGCAGTTCCTTTTGAGGTGTACAATGATAGATCTTTATGAATTTGTTCACTAAGTAAAGACATGCAAAAATCTATATTGTAGAAAAAGCTAAAGACAGCTCAAACCCAGTTAGCAGTAGAATGGATAAATTATATCCATATGTAGGAGGAAGGACCGCTTGTTCATCCCACTCTCCCGGCTAGCTCAAACCCGAAATAACCACACAGGAACTGTTTTAATTAAAACACTGCTTGGCCATTAGCTCTAACTTCCCATTGGCTAGCTCTTACATATTAGTTTAACCCATCTCCATTAATCCATGTACCGCCACGTGGCTGTGACTTACCGGCAAGATTCTAACCGGCATCTGTCTGAGGCGGAGGATCCATGGCTTCTCTGACTCTGCCCTTCTCCCTCCCAGCATTCAGTTGTTTTCTCTGCCTACCTAAGTTCTGCCCTATCAACTAGGCCAAGCCCATTTCTTTATTCATTAACCAATGAAAGCAAACACACAAAGAGAAGGAACTAGGTATGGGAAGCAAAATGGTTAGTCTCAAAAACATAATATTGAACCCAAAGACTCAGACATTTAAGACTGCAGATTCCATTACATAAATACACACAAATGTGTACAGAGAGAAAGAGAGAGAGAGAGAGAGAGAGAGAGAGAGAGAGAGAGAGAGAATGGGAATAAGCTAGAGGTCTCCTTTGGTGTATAAGCGGTGGCAGTGACAGGATGCTGGTAATGGCCTGCCCATGTGATCTGATGGATTGGTTTTGAAATGTATCTATCAATGCCCTTGTGTGTATCTTTCTATGTACTTGAAATTGTTTTAAAACATATTTTACCTTGAGTCTGCACATAACTTGTAAAGAACATGTTCATTTGGAAGATAACTTTAAGTTTAAATCTTAGATCATTTTTAATGTTATGGTAAGACTGCTAAAAATTTCTTGTTAGGTTTCTTTCCAGTGGTAAGATACTATGGCCTCTCTCTCTCTCTCTCTCTCTCTCTCTCTCTCTCTCTCTCTCTCTCTCTCTCCAAGGAAGAGAGAGAGAAACACCATTTAGACTAAATTACTTTTACTTTTTATATTCTAATTTCTACTGGCCTTTCTAATCTGCTAAATATTCTGACTTTCTATATCCCAGGATAAGATTCCTTGTAAACTAATACTGTGAAAATTAGTTGTCTTGACTTTTGCAGAGATCACTTACTCTCGTCTGCTTATTTCCACACCTTCTCTTCAGTAGGCGAGCAAAGGTCGGACTACAATTTTGGTAGCACACCCGCTTTCCAGTATTCGTGGGGCAGACCTGATTGTGACTATGAAGAACGGCATGGTAGCAGAGAAAGGGACTCATGCTGGACTAATGGCAAAGCAGGGGCTGTATTACCCACTCGCCATGACCCAGGTAGTGTTTACAGGATGTTATATCTGCATGTATCTCTGTAACATAGGCAGCAAGACCAATGGGGACAGGGTTACAAACCTCAAGGAAGTGATTAGAAGGCTGCAAAGTTGGGGGTAAAACCAAGAAGAAAGCCAGAGGGATGGGACAGCAGTGCAGAAATAAATAGACAAAAGCAAACACTTCCTTGTGCAGCTGAAAAGGAAAGATCAGCCTTTCATGCAGACAGAGGAGTGCTGGGAAAATAACTAGAGACAGTGAGAGAACGATATTTGAAGTTTCTTGAAGCCGGGCAGAAGGGCTAGAGCATAATAGTAATGAAAACAAAACAGAAGGTAGAAATAAAATCTTAAACAGAGCATGGTGGCTCAGACCTGTAATCCCAGCTTTCAGGAGGCAGAATCATGAGGATCTTTGTGAGTTCAAGGTCAATCTGGGACGCATAGTGAAACTGTTGCAATAGGGGAGCAGGCCTGCTATTCGCTACAGTGAGACCCTGGTTGATTTTGTTGTTTTGCATTTAAAGTGGGGAGGGTGCTGAAAAGACACAGTGGCTCCACTTGAGACTCCAGCTCTGAGATGGGCAGAGACGGAAGAATCTCTGTAGCTCATTGGTCAGACTGTCTAGCTAAACTCAGGAACCCAGGTTCAATGAAAGACTCTACCTCAAAAAGTAAGATGGAGGACAATGCAGGAAACTCCTCAGTTTTAGCCTCTGGCCTATACACATGTACATGCACAGACATGTGCACACTCTGGCCTATACACATGCACAAACACGTGCACACTCTGGCCTATACACATGTACATGCACACACATGTGCACACTCTGCCTATACACATGTACATGCACACACATGTGCACACTCTGGCCTATACACATGTACATGCACACACATGTGCACACTCTGCCTATACACATGTACATGCACAGACACGTGCACACTCTGCCTATACACATGTACATGCACAGACGTGCACACTCTGCCTATACACATGTACATGCACAAACACGTGCACACTCTGCCTATACACATGTACATGCACAGACGTGCACACTCTGCCTATACACATGTACATGCACAAACACGTGCACACTCTGCCTATACACATGTACATGCACAAACACGTGCACACTCTGGCCTATACACATTACATGCACAGACACGTGCACACTCTGGCCTACACACATGTACATGCACAGACATGTGCACACTCACATGTGCATATGTGCACATTCACTTGTACTTACATACAACACATCTATACACACTGAAAGAAAATCAAAACAAAGAAAGTACAATCTACTTGCTTAACTACTTGATTTTTATTTTATTTCATATTTGTCCATATTCTGTATTTCCTTTAAAAAGAAAAGTAAGGACAGGTAGTGGTGGCACGAACCTTTAATCCCAGCACTCAGGAAGCAGAAGCAAGTAGATATTTATGAGTTCAATGCCAGCCTGGTCTACAGAGTGAGTTCCAGGACAGCCAGAGCTATATATAGAAACCCTGTCTCAAAAAACCATAAATAGATAGATAGATAATAGAGTAAATAGATGATAGATAGATAATAGATTAGATAGATAGATGATAGATAGATAGATATAGAAAGATAATAGATTAGGTAGATAGATAGATAGATAGATAGATAGATAGATAGATAGACAGACAGATAGATAAATCTGAGATGTTGCTTGACACTGAATTCACATCATTTTCATTCCTTAGAGCAGGGATTCTCAGCCTTCCTAATGCTGCCACCCTTAACACAGTTCCTCATGCTGTGGTGACCCCCAACCACAAAGTTGTTTTACTGGTACTTCATAACTGTAATTTTACTACTTTTCTGAATCATAATATAAATATCTGATGTTCAGGATATCGAATATGTGACCCCCAAGAGGATCACAACCCTCAGGTTGAGAACTGCTGTCTTAGAGGCATTAATTTATAAAGTTACTAAGTTTAATATTTCCAAACCAATATAACTAGGTAAGAAAAGAACATAATTGAGGGTCAAATTCATCATTTTTTGAGATCTTTAAGAACCAGGATACTTAGGCTTTCTTTAGAATAACACATCTTTAGTTTTTTATTAATAATTGTAAGTGTGAAGACCAGATAGATTCCAGATTCGAACCATGTGGTACCCCCCAATCCCACAATTCCAGATCCCCTCCAGAGTGGCAGACCACTGTAATTCCAGATTACCACCAATGGGTGGGGCTGTAAGCCCAGATTCCCACCAGTGTGTGAGTGCGGGGTGGGACGCCTATCATTTCAGAAGAAATAGAATGCCCAATACACAACTGTCCAACTAGTCCTTGCCTTGAAGATTGGAGAATGACAAGGAAGACTCTCGGTGTTGGTCTTGGGCCTCCACATTCACAAGCACAAACAAATACACACACACACACACACACACACACACACACACACACACGAGAGAGAGAGAGAGAGAGAGAGAGAGAGAGAGAGAGAGAGAGATGTAGTAATAAGAGTGGCGGGGGGCTGCATCCCTGGCACCCCAGCCACCTGGCTAGCTTATGCCCCAAAATAACAACACACAAACTGTATTCATTTAAACACTGCTTGGCCCTTTAGCTCTAGCCCTTACTGGCTAATTCTGATATCCCGATCAACCCATCTCTAATAATCTGTGAGAACCGGTCTTACCGGGAAGATTCTAGCCTAGTCTATCCTGGGTCGGAGCTTCATGGCGTGTGTCTGCCCGGGAGCGGGGCATGGTGTCTCTCTCAGGCGTCTGCTCCCGAGAGGAGAACTGTGGAGTCTGAACTCACTTCCTGTTCCTCCCAGCGTTCTGTTCTGTTTACTCCTCCCACCTATCTTCTAACCAATAAAATGGGCCAAGGCAGTTCCTTTATTAGCCAATGACCTTCCTCCATCATTTCTCCTTTTTCTGTTTAAACAAAAAAAAGGGGGGGCTTTAACTTTAGCATAGCAAAATTACATATAACAAAACAGTTATCAAGTAAAAGTTACAATAATCTTTATCATAACTAAGGAAAACTATAACTATAACTAACTATTCTTAACTTCATCAAAGACTCCAGAAAGATACAATACTACCTAAGCAAACAAGAAAAAAGCAACATTTAAAACTCTAGAAATGACAGAGACATCACACTGCCTGGACAGTCACCCAAAGTTCCTCTGTACCATTGGGGCATCCATGTTCAGCCTTCAGGCCCATGGTATTCAGCAGACATTTCCATAAAGCAGGAAAATTCAAAGGCAGTCACTATCTGCTTATCCTGAAGAATGTCTTGCAGACTCTTTCATGAATCAGGAACCCCGAAAGATCATCTCACCTTAGGCAAGTTCAGTAGTCCTCTCTCTGTGGGTTCTCTGTGTCCAGTTTATGCAATAATCCAGGCAAGAGCAGTTTCTTGCCCAAATGGCTATCAAACTCCCTTAGGTGCCTCTTCGATGCCCATCTCCCTCTTGAAGTAGATTGGTGCTGCTAGGAGCAGAGTGTCTCATTGTCATGAAAAGTCCTCAGTTATTAAAACATTAAATGTCCTATTCTGTAATCTTTGAAAGACATGAAGAATGTCTATCTAAAATATATCTCTATATATCTAGAAAATCTAACTAACATGACTACAAGCTTTACTATTATCGATGATTATCCATTAACAACCTATATTTCTTAATTATACAGTACATATTTAGATGGACTACACAATCACAATACCTTAATCAAAATCAGAAACACTTATATATATAACAAAATTGACCTTAAATCTCTATCAATAAAGCAAAATCTATACTAATGCAAATTATTCATATCTATATCATATCCCCCTTTAAATGTAAAAGAACATTTATAAACATTTTTTGGGAATATGGGCGCAGTTATTTCTCTCCAAACTGCTTCCTGCTGAATGGGATGTCATTAATTAGGTCTTTCATGGTATAATCTGTGTGCTAGTTTCATCTCAGTTGGCAGTTGAGCGAAGCAATTTTCTGAAGGTGTTCACACCAACCCTTCAGGAGAGCGTGGTCCATCATACCAAATCAGAATAGAAGAAATGAACAGGGTCTCATCCTCTGTGAAAACAAAATAAGAAACTCCTTTCCAAAGCATCATGTCCTTAGATCCAAATTTCAAAGTCAAGGCATTTCAAAGTATCTATGTTGGATTAGTTTAGCAGCATTTATAAATAAATATCTTTTAGCATCTGTTGCTCCTTCCTCAGCATTTAAATAATTTAAAGAGAGCATAATAGCATACAGTATCAAAATTCTCTGAGTATTTTCCATCTTTGTTCGTTTTATTTTAACCTCTATTTTGTTTATTTTTACTTTTAACTTTTTGCTTTTTGAGATAGGTTCTCTGTATCTTTGACCTGAAGTAACTCTGTAGACCAGGCTGTCTTTGAACTCTCAGAGATCTGCCTGTCTCTGCCTCCCAGGCATTGGGATTAAAGGCATGTGCTACCACACCTTGAAGTCACAGAGGTCTATCTCCCACTGCCTAGCAAGTGTTGGGATTAAAGGTGTGTACCACACACAACTCTCTTCCTTTTTTTTTTGTTACTTTAAGAACTTTAAATTTTAGTCTGCATATATTTTTAACACACTTCAAATCATTCAGAAATTTTCTTTGTCTTTGAATCTCTCTTTACTGTATATCTCTCTTTTTCTGACCACACAAGCCTTTAAATTACTGAGCAATATGGGTAGGATTAAAGGCATGGCTTTGCCAGCTAGATCCAGTCCATTCCTTAGCTTTCCAGCCTCATGGCTGAGGTACCGGCTGTAGGCATGTTTACTGCCACAACTCTATGGCATTTCAAGGTCCCTGCCAGCAAATGAGCTTCAGCAGCCTGTGCTTGCAAACCGCACGAACCACCTGCGTAAAAGAGTCAGAGTTTGCCCTGGCAGGACAGCCCAGAAAGCCGGCATTTTTAAATGGCGCAGCTTTTTTCCTGCTACGGCTGAAAACTGAAAAGCATGCGTTCAGCTTTTCGTCAACATCTTTAAGTGTTTCGTGGCAGGACCTCTTAATGAGCTGCAGGGTTTTGCAGCTAAAGCTGAGTCAGGAAGCCTGTATTAAATGAGGCGCTTGCTTGCCTCTAGCAAGTAGAGTAGATCCGAGAAATTGTCACTATCAAGAAAACATGCTTTACTCTTTCCCAAGCTTTTTCAGGCTTTCTGTGGATTCAGTTGTCCACGTGGGCACCAATTTGTAGTAATAAGAGTGGCGGGGGGCTACATCCCTGGCACCCCAGCCACCTGGCTAGCTTATGCCCCAAAATAACAACACACAAACTGTATTCATTTAAACACTGCTTGGCCCTTTAGCTCTAGCCCTTACTGGCTAATTCTGATATCCCGATCAACCCATCTCTAATAATCTGTGAGAACTGGTCTTACTGGGAAGATTCTAGCCTAGTCCATCCTGGGTCGGAGCTTCATGGCGTGTGTCTGCCCGGGAGCGGGGCATGGTGTCTCTCTCAGGCGTCTGCTCCCGAGAGGAGAGCTGTGGAGTCTGAGCTCACTTCCTGTTCCTCCCAGCGTTCTGTTCTGTTTACTTCTCCCACCTATCTTCTAACCAATAAAATGGGACAAGGCAGTTCCTTTTTTAGCCAATGACCTTCCTCTATCAGAGAGAGAGAGAGAGAGAGAGAGAGAGAGAGAGAGAGAGAGAGAGCGAGCACATACACATGGGTAAAAGAAAATTTGAGAAGTACCACAGAGGCTGAGAAATGAGTTCTGTCACTGCCAGTTGACTCTGGGAGGCTACACTTTCAGGGCCAAGAATAAATGTCTTAAATTCTTTATGTTTCTATTTTCTAATCCCTAACATGAGGAAAATACAGTAATCAATTCATTAATAATGAACTAATTCTTATTGGAATGATTTGTATATTAGTGCGTATGAAATAAAATCAAGTACAGAGGCGCTAGAGAGATGGCCTAGTGAGTAGAGCTGCTCCTGCAAAGGACCCGGGTTCTCTCCCAAGTATTCAAATCATGGTACATAACTATCCATAACTCCAGTTCCGCAGGATCTGATTCTGTCTTCTGACTTCCATGGCACCAGGCACACATATATACGCATTTGGGCAATTTTTTTTTCATAAAAAAAATTCTAAAAAAAAATTAATCCAGTACAGATGCAAATTTTCTGTTTTGTTTGTTTTTTTGTTGTTTTCTGTTTTGCTTTTTGAGACAGAGTTTCTCTGTGTGGCCTTAGCTGTCCTGGAACTCACTCTGTAGATCACGCTGGGGCCTCGAACTCACAAAGTACTGGGAGTAAAGGCATGCACTACCCACTCGTGGCTCAGACGGACGTTTCAGAATATCTTTTATGTGTACTTTGACAATTTTGTACATGTATACAATGTATATATTCCTCTCTACCCCAACTTCCAAATATACTCCCCACAACCCCCTCCCACCTTTATGTACAGTTCTTTTTGTTTTTTTTCTTTTTTTGTAAGCCTCTGAGTCCAGTTAGTGCTGCCTGCTGGAATATTGATTGACCTTGTTGGCTTGATTTTGTTCAAGTAATCATGGCTGAAGTGAGTTACTGAATAGAACGGCTGTGTCGTGTCCAGACAAGGGCATTCACAGCATTCTTCCAAGTCCTCTGCCTTTTCTTCTACTATGTGCCCTCAGCCCTGAGGTGGCACTCCACAGTCACTTATTCTCAGCATCTTAGCCAGCTATCAGTCTCTGCATTAACTGCTGCCACTGCAGAAGCTATTGTCTTTAGCCAAGCTTGAGAGCAGCATTAATCTGTGAATATAAAAATAAATATTTCTTTTTTCTTTTCTTTTTTTCTTCAGAGCTGAAGACCAAATCTAGGGTTTTGCACTTGCTAGGCAAGCGCTCTACCACTGAGCTAAATCCCCAACCCCAAGCGTAAATATTTAAAAGACAATTTGGTGTATTGTTCATTTAACAATACGACATATGTTCCCTTCTAAGACTTATGACCATTCAATCCATGGGTTTTTAAGCTTGTTTACAAAATTATACAACAATTCCCTCCTGTTTCCAGGTCTCAGATCCAATAAAAAAGCAGTTGGTTACCCCAATAAGCTTCATGCTGCTATTGTAGCACCTTGACTGATAGGTACTCAGGTCCAGTGCTGGGCAAGACTATTGCTGCCTTTACTGCTCACTCCTGGCCACCACCACCACCCAGCTCCCTATCTAAAGCCTTCCTGCACTAGGAGAGCCAGCCAGCAAGAAGGAAGTTCTTAGGTCAGTCATAGTATGCTTTCTCTATGTCTTTTAACAAAATATGTTTTATTTTCAACAACAAGGTCTCACCATCTGGTTCTGCTGAGCAACCAAAAGTAAAGACAACAGCCTATATTGTTTTGGAAGCCTCTGGGGACTCCTTGAGTTGTAAGGAGGTGTTTGAGGCCTGGCACTAAGATTTTTATTTACCCATGCAGGATATCTATGTTCAAATTCCTCTTTTTTATTTTCAATTGTGTTTTTTAGTTACCTTACAAATTAGTGAATTTCTGTAAGGACTTTCCATACATCTTCAGTTTTGGTTGGCCCTAATCTTCCTGTCTCTACCTAGAATCTCTAACATCACGTACTCTCATTGTTCTTTTGTCTAGCAAGCACCTTAGAAAAATGAGTTGTCTTTGACCAATAACAGAATTCCTCCTTAGAAAGCTTTACTATGAAATCAGGTTAAATTCTATTTTAAATTTCCCACTGATTAAATAACTCTGGACAAAAAAGAATAGTCAAATAAAAGATTTCCTCCACAGTGGAAAAATAACAGAAAAGAAGGTGATAGTGTAAAAGTACCTGTAACTACAGACTTTCAAGTTACTGTGTCTCTGTGTAATTCATTAACTGCTCCCCAGACTGCTGAGGAATCCGACCATCCCTGGAATGTGGTCCTATCCTTGCCTCCCTGATTCTGCCTCTCTGAGCTCAGGCTTCTCTCCTGCCAGCTCACTGGAGAGCTCTGCTTGGGGGTCTCACGAAACTGCCCTCATGTTTCTAAATTACAAGAAAAAGAAAAACTATGTTCAGTGCAATCTATCTTATAATTTAACCCGAATGTATATTTTAATACTTACTCATAGTTAGTTTGATTTCTCTGTATTTTTTTTTTAATTCTCAAGAAGTCCCAATGCACACAGACCCATTTTGCTTTGAAGTCTCAGTCTGGACTGGGCTGTGGTTAATGGCCAGAAAAGTATTATTGTCTTTTAAGATTGATCTCAGGTCCTGGCCACACACACACAAGCTTTATTGTGACACAACAAATACCTTTGTATTTTTTCCTGTGTGTGTGCATGTGTGCATATGTGCTTGTTTGTTTTTAAGAATGAGTCTCTAACTGGCCTAGAACTCACCAAGCAGGCTAGACTAGCAAGTCTGCAAGCCCCAAGGATCGACTTATCTCTGTCTATCCCTGCACATCTTCACCTCCAGCTGTCCCCCTCCCTCAACTCCCAACCCATCCTGCAGCTCCCTTTCCTCCCGTCCCAGCACTAGGATACTAAGGACATTCCGTCATTCCCAGCTTTTTTAAAATCTTGAATTGTGGAGACCAAAATAGGGTCCTCACTTTACCAGCTGAGCTATCTCCCTATGCTGCCTTTGTGTTTTTAAGGCATTGTTATCACAGCCGATACATTCTTTGTTGAAGGATATTAAAAAAGCTGATGAACAAATGGAGACAAAGACGTGTTCCACTGAGGATAAAAGCAGCTCTATTTCTCTGTGTGATGTGAGCAGCTCCAAATCCCTCTGTGCTGACAAGTCTGAGGAAGTCATCCACCATCAAAAGGTAGTGCTTGTATACATGTTCTCCAATACCCAATTAATCCTTATGAAATTTATAATTGATGTACAATAAAATAGTATTGTGCCATTAAGTTCACATTTGCTCGCACTGCCCACGACACTAAGGAGGTCATCTACTGAACCACATTTTTATCAAAGGTCTTTGCTGGGAAGGAAAAAAGTCTTATAAAGGCATGTTGTTTCTTCCTACATGGCAAACCAGGGGTTAAAACAGCAGCCTGCCAGCCTGGTCTACAAGAGCCAGTTCCAGGACAGGCTCTAAAACTACAGAGAAACCCTGTCTAGAAAAACCAAAAACACACAAACAAAAAACAGCAGCCTGAGGTGTGGGGAACACCACCAGGGCCACCCCAGATTAAATTGGGTCCGGATATTGTGTATAGAGGGCATCCAATGGGACTTCCCCGGGGCCTTGTGGACTAGGAGCAAGTGAATAGCCATAGAAGGCAAGCCTGCTATCAAGGGAAGAAAAGGCAGCCTATGCTGGAAATGACCTTGAGAGCCGCAAACAGCTCAGCATCAGTCTCTGGACTGCTCATTCACGTACTGCCCACCTTCTCTGCGCAGAGTCATGGTGGAGAGGGGTTCTAACTAATCTCAACACCTCTTTCACTGGCTACTCCCGCTGCAACAGCCTGGAAACAGACCAGCTGCCAGCTGCAGTTTGGGTCTCTAAGCAGCTCCCTTGGGTAGGGGTACCTGATCCCAGGCGTCCTCTTCCCTGCTCCCAGTACAAAGGTCACCCTGCTGTGTCCCTCCCTGCCCCCAGCACCACTCAGTACTCTCTTCAGTCACCACCCTACCCGGTGTCATTTCTCTTTCACAATTTATCTCCTTCCACTTAACCCACCATGGCTTCCAGACCCACAGTTGAAGGTCTTCAATACCTTCCCTGGTTAGGTTTCTTTTGCTGCGAAAAGCACCATGCTCAAAGGGAACTTCGGAGAAAGGGGTTTATTTCAGCTGACAGAGTCCTTCATGAAGGGAACTCAGGGCAGGAACTCAAGACAGGAGCCTGGAGGCAGGAACTGAAGCGGAGGCCCATGGAGGCTGCTACTGACTTGCTCCCCGCGGCTTGCTCAGTTTGTTTTCTTATACATTCACCTGCCCAGGGGTGACACTGCCCACACAAAAATCACCCACAGGCTTGCCTATAGGCCAGTCTGCTGGAGGCAGTTTCTCAATTGAGGTTCCCTCAAATGGTGTTGGATTGAGTCAAATCGAAGGAAACGAAACAAACAAACAAAGCCAACCAACCAACCAGCACAACTTTTCATAAGCATCTTCCCTCCCCGGGCTTCCCTGAACTCTAGGCTCTCCCTCTCCTCAGGCCCCATTACCGGCCCCTGGGTGCTGTTATGTGTTTGGTAACCTCCAGCCAGAGGTCCCTCATCTGGACAGTTCCTCTGTGGGGCTTCAGTGTCTTTGTCTCCAGCTGCCAATCACCCAACAGCTCTCTTGGGCCCATTCTTATCTCCCAAACTAGAAAACCATTCTTCTCTCAACAATTCAGATTAATGCTCTTCCTTAGCTTTTTCTGCTGACTCCCAGCTCACCTTCTCCCTCTCAGCCACCAGTTCTCTGCCTGAGGTCTGGACTGCGGACCCCAGTCCTTCTGATATCCTATGTGACACAGCCATAGTTGTCTCACACTTTAGCTACAACTATGTGATCTTCATGGCGTTCACACCTAGACTTCCCCCTCTTCTCTCTCACTTTGATTTTTGTAAATGTTTATTTGTATAAACCCATAAAAATAATTTTCAGGCTGACAAGACCTGTAAAAAAGAGCCTTGTCTTTACCAGACAGACAATGACACACATGCACATACATACAAGCATGTGCGGCTTCCTGGGGCTGTGCCACCAGTGCAAACTCTGGCTTTAAAGCATTTCAATGACTTTTATGGGACTGGATATTTGGGTTCCCACTTGGGATCGGAAGGAGAGTGCTCTGAGACCATGCCCATGGCTCAGCGCTCCCTGCCTGCACCTGGGCAGATAGCAGAATCAGGCTTAGGCAGGCGGAAGAGCATGGTGGATTCCTGCCGCTATACAGAGAGGTGTTTTCAGACTGTGCAGTGCTCTGCATGTCAGATTTGGCTGTAACTTGGATGAAAAGATTTTCTTTGCTGCACGCTCAGTCTCAGAATTAAACTGCTGAGGGTGGCTCCAATGTGGACTTGCTGTGTGCCTGGAACAGTGCTTGCCACAGCTCAGAGGCATAAGCAGCTCTGCCATGTTCGCCTGGGCAGGGCAAGCAGGCAGTACCTGTTTTTGACCTAGGAATGTCACATCTTAGATTCTTTTTTTTTTTAACTTTTTTTTTTATTGAGAAAAGAGAAGAAAAAAAAAACAAATTTCCTCCTCCTCCCAGCCTCCCATTTCCCTCCCCCTCCTCCCACCCTTCTCCCCCTCCCCCCACTCCTCTCCCCCTCCCTCTCCAGCCCAAAGAGCAGTCAGATTTCCCTGCCCTGTGGTAAGTCCTAGGTCCTCCCCCCTCCGTGCATTTCTAGGAAGGTGAACATCCAAACTGGCTAGGCTCCCACAAAGCCAGCACATTACGTAGGTTCAAAACCCCGTGCCATTGTCCTTGGGTTCTCATCAGCCCTCATTGTTGGCCATGCTCAGAGAGTCCAGTTTTATCCCATGCTTTTTCAGTCACAGTCCAGCTGGCCTTGGTGAGCTCCCAATAGATCAGCTCCACTGTCTCAGTGGGTGGGTGCTCCCCTCGTGGTCCCGACTTCATTGCTCATGTTCTCCCTCCTTCTGCTCCTCATCGGGACCTTGGGAGCTCAGTCCAGTGCTCCAGTGTGGGTCTCTGTCTCTGTCTCCATCCATCCCCAGATGAAGGTTCTATGATGATATGCAAGATATTCGTCAGTATTGCTATATGATAGGGTCATTTCAGGTTCCCCATCCTCAGCTGCCCAAGGAACTAACTGGGGACCTCGGCTTGGGTATCTGGGAGCCACTCTAGGTTCAAGTCTCTTGCCAACCCTAAGGTGGCTCCCTTAACTAAGAACCGTGCTTCCGTGCTCCCCCATCCAACCTTCCTTCATCCCAATCCTCCCCCTTTCCCAAGCTCCCCCCCATTCTCCCCCTCTCCCCCCTCTCTCCCCATCTCCCCTTACCCCCATCCCACCCCACCCCCAAGATCTCAATTTTCTCCCCCGCAATTTTGTCTAATTCCCATAGCCAAGAGGACAACTATATGCTTTTCCTTTGGTTCACCTTCTTACTTAGCTTCTTTGGGATCACCAAGTGTAGACTCCGTGACCCTTGTTTATGGCTAGAAACCAATTATGAGTGAGTACATCCCATGTTCATCTTTTTGGCTCTGGGATACCTCACTCAGGATAGTGTTTTCTATTTCCATCCATTTGCATGCAAAATTCGAGAAGTCATTGTTTTTTACCTCAGCATAGTACTCTAATGTGTAGATATTCCACACTTTCTTCATCCATTCTTCCATTGAAGGGCATCTAGGTTGTTTCCAGGTTCTGGCTATTACAAATAATACGGCTATGAACATAGTTGAACAAATGCTCTTGACATGTGATAGGGCATCTCTTGGGTATATTCCCAGGAGTGGTATTGCTGGGTCCAGGGGTAAGTTGATCCCGAATTTCCTGAGAAACCGAAACACCGATTTCCAAAGTGGTTGCACAAGATTGCATTCCCACCAGCAATGGATGAGTGTTCCCCTTCCTCCACAGCCTCTCCAGCAAAGGCTATCATTGGAGTTTTTTATTTTAGCCATTCTGACAGGTGTAAGATGATATCTCAAAGTTGTTTTGATTTGCATTTCCCTGATTGCTAAGGAGGTTGAGCATGACCTTAAGTGTCTTTTGGCCATTTGAACTTCCTCTGCTGAGAATTCTCTGTTCAGTTCAATGCCCCATTTTTTAATTGGGTTAATTAACATTTTAAAGTCTAGTTTCCTGAGTTCTCTATATATTTTGGAGATCAGACCTTTGTCTGTTGCGGGGTTGGTGAAGATCTTCTCCCAGTCAGTAGGTTGCCTATTTGTCTTGGTGACAGTGTCCTTTGCTTTACAGAAGCTTCTCAGTTTTAGTAGGTCCCATTTATTCAATGTTGCCCTTAAAGTCTGTGCTGTTGGGGTTATACATAGGAAGCGATCTCCTGTGCCCATCTCCTGTAGGGTACTTCCCACTTTCTCTTCTATCAGGTTCACTGTGTTCTGACTGATAGTGAGGTCTTTAATCCATTTGGACTTGAGTTTTGTGCATGGTGATAGATATGGGTCTATTTTCATTCTTCTACAGGTTGACATCCAGTTATGCCAGCACCATTTGTTAAAAATGCTTGCTTTCTTCCATTGTATACTTTTGGCTCCTTTATCAAAAATGAGGTGTTCATAGGTTTGTGGGTTAAAATTCGGGTCTTCTATACGATTCCATTGGTCAACTTCTCTGTTTTTATGCCAGTACCACACTGTTTTCATTACTGTAGCTCTGTAATAGAGTTTGAAGTCAGGGATGGTAATGCCTCCAGACAATCCTTTATTGTATAGGATTGTTTTGGCTATCCTGGGTTTTTTGTTTTTCCATAGAAAGTTGATTATTGTCCTCTCAAGATCTGTGAAGAATTTTGATGGGACCCTGATGGGGATTGCATTGAATCTATAAATTGCCTTTGGTAGAATTGCCATTTTTACTATGTTGATCCTCCCAATCCAGGAGCAAGGAAGGTCCTTCCATTTTCTGGTATACTCCTCAATTTCTTTCTTCAATGCCTTAAAGTTCTTGTCAAATAGATCTTTCACTTCCTTGGTTAGAGTTACCCCAAGATATTTTATGCTGTTTGTGGCTATTGTGAAAGGTGAAGCTTCTCTGATTTCCCTCTCTGCTTCCATATCCTTTGTGTATAAGAGGGAGACTGATTTTTTGGAGTTTATCTTGTATCCTGCCACATTACTAAAGGTGTTTATCAGCTGTAAAAGTTCTTTGGTGGAGTTTT